TTTTTGCGTTTTGTTTCACGTTCGTGTTTTGGCCTTAGCTTCAAAGAAGAAGGCGTCGAGCTTACTAGTTTTCCAGTACAGCAGACCACTTTTGTTGAACGCAAAGCAGTTCAAACAAGTCAGAATGAATGTCACAAAACGTCACAAACTTTCAACAGAGTGTCACAAACTTTGACAGAACAATGCATGCACAATGTCCTCAGCATGTATACACGTCACAGTTCACACTGTATGTACATATCTCCGCCTTCTCACCTCCCGCTTCCCTTGTTTTTTTTGGAAACCTGGATAGGTGAGAGGAGTCCCGAACTAGAGGTCACTTTGGTGCCCTGGTGGTTGTGGGCAGCACCTTTAGTGAACACCTTGAGCCATGTCCAGCTCCAGTGGTTCGCAGAGCAAATGGACGCCGGAAGATGAGTGGGCATTGTCCCTGTTGATGCAAAAGCGTATGAACGCTGACACGACAGGAAGTCTTGGGCCACCGTCCCTGCCGGCCAAAGGCTCACTACAGTCGGCAGGAGCAATGCATGATGGCGCAAAGAGACGCTTGGTAGCTGATGCTGCAGATGGTGACGCACCTTCCGGATGGGAGCAAGTGGATGCTGAGGATCAGCCCACGTACAGTGGGTACAGTGGGAAGGTCCGGACAGATGACACTGTCTTTGAGGAAGCATTGATAGCCGCCCTGGATGCTTCCCCAGTAATTGGTGCAGCAGCAAACCAGCTGCAGGCGAACAATGATGCTTCTGTGGAGCTTCCTCCGGGTGTGGACACCCTATCTCAGTGGGGGAAGACCCTTGTGTCCTTTGGCCAGTACAAAGGAAAGTACTCCTACTATGAGATTGCAAGCGGAAGCAGTTTCTGGGATTACAAGAAGTGGGTGAGGACCCACATCAAGCCTGGAACTAGCAAAGGAGCAGCATTGGACTTTGCAGCCTACTTGCGAGCGTATGACAAGGAGCATGGTCGCTCGCAATTGCCGGTGTTCCCAGGGACATCGATTCCTCGGCAGTTCAAGGATGCCTAAGGTCCTGAAAGGCATCCAGATGGATTTGGAATTGGCTATGAGCCAGGCAGCGCTGGAATTTTGAAAGCAGCTTGGACCTGGACGCCTTTTGTGTGGTTTTGGGCACCTCAGCTCAAAAGGGGGTGTGAAAATGTGGAGGTGCTGGATGCACCACATGTGGTGAGCTGGGT